TTCACTTCTACAGATTTCTTTTTAGGTGCTCTATTTGTTATTACCGATCAGGAAGAACATCTTATTTGTCACTTGGGAACAGGCTTATTTCACTAAGTATGATGTTTCCCAGATTCACCCATTTTGTTGCAAATAACCAGATTTCATTCTTTTTCTGCTGTGTAGTATTCCATAGAGTACATATCCCATAATTTCTTAACCAGTTTTCAATTGATGAGGCCATTTAAATTTAACTATGTAATTTTAAATCAGCTGACATCTCAGATATTTCAAATTCTTCCATCTCATCAACAAGGTCTACTCTTGAGATTTTTCCCTTTTTTCCATCTTTCAATTAAAATTCAAATAGTTTTCTTACACCCTTCACAAAATAATTTCCCATAAGTATTTTTCTCTTGATTTACATAAATGGCTCCTTTAATTACATTTTCTCTAAAGACTCTATCATAAAGATTTTTTTCTATCCTGAAAAAGGGATAATGATTTTTCCCCTGTGACACAAACATGAGTTCATCGTTTTCCTTATTTCAATACCATGAGGATCTTCATATTCATCTTATAATATATATATTAAAACTATATATATGTATATATATATATTGTTTTGCATCACCAAGTTCCTTCCTCAAAGCAAGACACTAAGCTTTACTTCTAAAAATCTTGCAAGATGCAAATTCATGTATATCACTCCAGACTTTCTGATTCAGTCTCTAGGCATAAAGCCTAAAAATCAGAAACACTCACAAGCATTCCAGGTGGTGTTTTCTTAAGCACACTCCAGTTGGAGAGCCACTAAACATAAACTTTCTCTCAAGTGCTGCCACCTTTGCTATAATACCCAAGAATCTAGGAACAACATCTGTTACTGTGAGTTTGTACTGATATAGTGCTTCCTTATTAGATTAAACTCTTCTTTATGTTCACTAATTTTTTGGATATTAACTTATCAAGCCTTGGGATGGTTAATTTTAGATGTCAGCTTGACTGACCACAGCTTCGTGGAATACCATTTCTCATTGTGTCCATGAACGTGTTTCCTGACACAAGCAGCATTTGAATGAATGGATTCAGTAAAGTAAATCACCCTCATTAATGTGGTTGGGCATCATTCAATTCATTGAGGGCCTACATAGAACTAGAGCTGGAAGAAGGAGAAATTTAGCCCCCACCTCCAATTTTCCTTGTCTTGCTGTTTAAAATAGGACATCTCAGCTCATTGCCACCTGCCCTCAGTATGGGATTAGCAAACCTAGCTCTCCTTGTTCTTAGAACTTCTGTCCTGGGGTAAATTATGCCATCACTAGCTTATCAGAGTTTCCAGTTTGTGGGTGGCAGATTGTAGGACTTCTCAGCCTTCATAATCATATGAGCTCATTCCTCATAATACGTCAATCTCCATCTCTCTCCCCCCTCCCCAAGTATTTCATATGCATGTGTGTGAGTGTGAGAATGTACACAGATATAGCTGATACGTAAATGTTCTTTACTGCTTCTCTTTACTACCCTAAAAAATTCCGAAAGTATGTTTCATACAAAAAGTTTTCACAGAGGAAGATAGACTTATATTGTGTGTTAATAGATAAATGAACCAAAACTGAATAGTGACGAATGTTAAGACAGAAAAACAAAATTGGAAAATTGTAACTAGTAGACTACTAGAGGTTGGTCCTAGGGGGCAAGGGCCAGAAACAAAAACTAAGATCAATTAACTTGGATGGAAGAAATTATGAGAACCCAGAAACAAATGTTGATATTACACCATAGCAAAAAAAAATATTACACCATAGCAAAGGAAATGAGAGCAAGCTGGAGAAAATCTCTGTGGATTATATAACTTATTGCATATTCTGCAAAGCCATGTTCAAATTAAACCAAACCAATAAAAAGTCCAGAAGCACATAGCTAAAGGCAAAAATGAGACTTCTTAAAAATAAAAATAAGTATACTCTGTTGACCAACTACTGTGGGTTATTTTAGCTTTCAGAGTACTTTAATGATTGTGCATATGTGTTTTCAATCATGTGAATATGCTTTATGGTCTGCAGTTAAAAATAAATAAAGCTTGTAGCCATTTTAAAATGAAGTGAAGCATATACTAAATAGAAAACTAGAGTTACAAAAAAGACAAAAAACATGACCATGTAAACCATGAGTAAAACTGGATAAAGGAATATGAAACTGAATTTGGACAAATATATTTTTAGTACATGAAAATAAAAGAAAAACTTCTCTTTTGTGTACCTGAGACTGAAATGTTTTCATTAAAATTCAAATGTTAATTCATATGAATTTTTGCACTTTTAAAAAAGTTAAGCTTCAAAATGAAAGAAGCAGAACACAGTAATGTGATTCTGTCAAATACCTGAGTCTAGGTTTTTGTTTCTAATCTAAGCAAGAATTTGAGGATGAGACACAGGTAAGGGTCAGTAGAAAAACAAGATTTATTTGCAAAGTAGAGTAGAAGTGTGCAACCAAGAAGGGGGGTGGACATGCTCAATAGAAAGTTACCGTCAAGCTTGGGGGGCTGATATCATGGTACAGCAGGTTAAGCCACTTCTTGCAGCATTGGTTTCCATTATTAAAGTATTGGTTTGAGTCCTGGCTGCTTCACTTCCAATTCAGCTTCCTGCTAGTGTACCTAGGAAGGCAGTGGATGGAGTTCCTGGCTCCTAGATTTGTTCTGGTCTTGTCATGGCTGTTGCAACTATCTGGGGAGTTAACCAGTGGATGGAAGATCCCTCTGTCTGTGTCTCTCTCTGGTGCTCTGCCTTTCAAATAAATAAATTTAAAAAAAAGGTTCAGGACCATCCCTTTTTTATGAATTAAAGGCATGCAAGTGGTGTGTGGGATGGAGTTTAATTGAATATTCACGAAGGGCAGAGTTTGGGGCAGGACTTGACTACCATCCATTTTCTAGCCCATTTTTGGAAAACTCAGAAGTGTCATTGCATGCGCATGATGGGAGTAGGTGTGCCAGTCATGGTAATTTTATTCTCATAATATTATAATAAACTAAAGTGCATTGTAGCAACACAGGTGGCAGCCATGTCACATATTTTTGACCTGTGCTGATTCTAAGTGGTGACTTCTCAGAAGCTGAGGTTTTCCACTCCATGGAGAGGAGAGATCTGGATGGTACAGGCTATAGCATAAGGGGGCCACAGAGGGTGTATAAAGACTTCAACTCCTCCTTGTAAGCTACCTCCCTGCCTATATTAGTTCCAAATCCAAGGTCTGATACAAGTACATTCCCAAGAAGAAAAGCCTAATAACTTAATAGGCTCTGCTTGGAAAGTCTCAGAAGTTTGCATGGTTCTTGGGAATAAAATCCTAATAATTGTATGGAATACATACAAGACAGGAAACCTTCTCAATTCTAAAAGATTGAAAGTCTTCGCAGGCTGGCGCCGTGGCTCACTTGGCTAATCCTCTGCCTGCAGCGCCAGCACCCCGGGTTCTAGTCCCGGGGATTCTTTCCCGGTTGCTCCTCTTCCAGTCCAGCTCTCTGCTGTGGTCCGGGAGTACAGTGGAGGATGGCCCAAGTGCTTGGGCCCTGCACCCGCATGGGAGACGAGGAGGAAGCACTTGGGTCCTGGCTTCGGATCGGCGCAGCACGCGGGCCATGACAGCCATTTGGGGGGTAAACCAACGGAAGGAAGACCTTTCACTCTGTCTCTCTCTCTCACTGTCTAACTCTGTCTGTCAAAGAAAAAAAAAAGTCTTCTCAGCTCCAAAGGCAAATTCAGTGTTTGGGGAGCCTCAGCTGAGCACAACAATCAAAACACATAATGAATTATCCATGAAAGCAGCTAACTGCACATTTGTTAAAAGCAGATAATGAATTATCAATGAAAGCTAAATATTTTCCATAAAGGCAGAAAAACTAACTGATGGGAACTAGTCTGATGCATGAATGACAGCGATCATTTAGAAGTTTATTGCACAAATGATTTTGAAATAGTCCCAAGTCCAAATGCCTCTATTTTGTCTTAATTATGAAAGCACTTTTAGTCTGCAGAACATGGCACTCCTGATATATTGCTGCATAGCAATTTAGCACGAAATATGCAATTTAAAATAATGAACATTTGTCACACGGTTTCTGAGGTATGGGGCTCCAGGTCAGAATGTAACCAAGGCTTGTAGTCAAGATGTTGACTAGAGCCGAGGACTTTGCAGGGCCTGACTTGTCTGCAGGAGCCTTGTCCAAGTTCACTCACGTGGCTGTTGGCTGCAGGCCTCAGTTCCTTTCCAGCAGAGGCTCCAGTTTTTCACCTTGTAGACTTTATAGGGCAGCTCACAACACTGCAGTTCTCTTCTAGAGGAGTTATGTAAGAGGCAGAGAGAGTGAGGAAGGAAAAGTGATGTGCCATCCCCCCTGCTATGTCCTATCAGTCTCTGAGACCAACCCCCGTACAGGGTGAGAGGAACAAAGTGTGTGTGTGTGCATACCAAGAGGCAGGACTGGGGGCATCCTGGAAAGCACCTTGCACAAATGCCCTTAGACACTTAGTGCTCTTTGCTAATGCTCTCCCTCCTTTGGACTATTGGTTATTGAGGGCAGGAGCTAAGTCATATGATCTTTTGTTTTCCCCAGATACAGATGTTCTGGGAATGTTCCACTTCTTCTTCATTTGCCCACATCTATATGACCTTCATTTACGGGAAAAGCAAAGCATCCATCCCGTGTGTTTTAGACTGAACACTAGGATGGGGCATGAAACAGTAGTTGAAAGGATATTGCTGGTCTAATAAAGTGTTTCAAAGACTACAATAATGTATAATTTGACTAAATAATTTTATTTTCTAGATATTTTTCCTCATATTTGAGAAATATGCCCTTTACAATCTCCTGTATCTGGATGATTTTTCAACAGTTTTAGGCATATTGAAAATTATTGTTGTTTGCTAAAGCTCCATGCATAGTGTTTCTGGGAGAATCTGATCCTAGGAACAGAGACCTTTCCCTTGCAAGAATAATGGATCTTCTTTGGTTACAGCAAAACCCTCACTGAATATACTCTGCTGCAATGTTTTGGAACTATTTTAAAAGACATAAAAGTGAGTTTGACAAAGAATAATATTTAAATTTGCAACTGTCAAAATATTGAATGAATTCTTTTCAGCTAGTGAAGTAGCTTAGATATTTCAGTCTCCTGTGGCATTTGAATGTATCATCCTCTCCAACTCCTTCCTTGTACCATTATGGAGACCTATTTCAAATACAAGTCCAAGTTCCCCCAAGCCTACAGAATGGCATAAAAGTAAGGGGCAGGCATGCTGCAGCTTGAAGTGGAACACTTAAAAAATAAAATCTGATGACAGCAGAAAGGTCAAAAATTCTGTTTAAAAGAAGTAGAGCAAGAATACTTATTTAAACAAAATAAGTTATTCTGAATACTAAATTTCATAGAAGACAGAGATTAGGCATCTCATTCCTTAAATCAACCTAAACCAATAAGACTCTGATGGAACAAATGCAATACAAAGTCCCGTTTTTCAGTCCTAAGGACTGCTTATCATTAAAATGGTCTTGAATTTTTAAAACACTATTATCTTTTTCAAGGCACTTTATAATTAATTGCCATTTAATCCACTTTACAATCCAGGAAGTTGACACTAACAGCTAATTATGCTGTTGTGTATGGCTGCCTTAACCCATAAGGCTTTCAACGCCCCACCCCTCTTTTTTTTTCTGGCACTGCCTTGTCAGTTTATATGAATCCAAAGCTACTTTTCTCTTTTTCCTATCCTCACAAACTCAAATCTTTCCATTTGGTTTTTACTCATGTTTACCTCTGAGTAATCGTAAATCCTCACTATAGTTTTTTTTTTCTTTCCTTCTCAGATCATCTTACACTTGAAATAAACTGAGGCCAAACTTTTGTGCTATTGGTGAGCAAAGAACAGATTCTCTGGAAAGATCAAACTAATTAAATTCATTGTCGTGGGTCACAGATACGATATTACATACACATACACACACTCATGTATGTGGTTTCTAATTGTTAAAATAATAATCAGAGTTGGTATCTATCTAATAAACCTTTATTCATTTCCCGGAATTACAAGTTTCTCTTTTAGATGACTACAGTAAGACAACGTTTAATCGCCCTGCTAAGAAATAATAATACTATCTAATATTGATTGAGTAATCATTCTGTACCAGACAAGCCATTGCAAGTTCTATGTAACTTATATTTACAAAACCATAGTGAGATGAGTAGTGCTATTATCTTATTTTGCAAGTAAAGAAACTGGAGCACAGAATCATCACCTGCCCAAAGCCATGCAGCTGCTCAGAGGTACCTCTGAGACCTGAGCTTTCCACCTATGAGTTTGCCAGCAACCTGCCACATCATAAGGACAAAGTGTGAGCTAGCGTTTGCTTCATACAGAGATGATGAAACAAACCCTAATTGGATTATGTGGGGGTGTATGTAGCATCTCTTGTGTGGGATGAGGCAGGGAAGATTTTTGTAAGACAAACATTTGACTTGGGTGATAGAGATTGTGGAGGAAAATAATTACAAAGCTAGAATGCTTTCTCTGTAATGAAGACACTCAGTCCCTGGCCTGAGTTTTATAAGGCATGTATACACACAATAAAAATGGGAATTTTTCTTGAGAACTTATGTCTATGTTATGTCTTGGCCATGTTAAAGGCATAATATCACTTCTGCAGTATAAGTAAATTATATTCACATGTATTTTCTATATAAATTACTTTTTTTCTTTTGACTCTAATTTAAGCTTGAGATGAGCTTGAACATGACCTCATGATTTCATCTGTATGGTTGAATAACCACCGTATTCACAACTTCTCAAAGTATGTTAGGCACATGATAAGTAAGTGCTCAACAATATTTTTAATAATGACTAGATAACTGAATTCTACCAAGAGGTTGGCTGTGTTTCTGCCTGTGCTGGACAGCAGATTCTTCTGGCTCTGTGGAGAACTGTTGGTCCAACACAACTAAACCAGTGATCATGGCAACTTCATTGAAAGGTACACAGGTGATAGTGTTTTACATCAATAGTGGGCTTTATGCTTTCTAGAATATATTACCAGCCTATTGTCTCAGCTCATTTGGTAACAACCCAATAAGGACAATAAGGTTATACCCACTGGACGAATGGATAAAGAAACTAAGGCCCAGAGAGTTTGAATGATTACCCTAAACTCTTAGAACTGGCATACAACGGAATGTGGATGAAAAACAGGGCTTCTAAACCTCTCTCTTTCCACAACACACTACAGCATGACAGTGGAATACTGACCACACTAAAAGGAGCATGAAGAGGAATTAATCGATCTTTACAGTGTTTTCAATGGATTCAGAATCAAAAATAAATTACTATACTGTATTTGCTCTTCAGAATTAAATATAGCAGAAGAGAGGAGCTAGACCAAACAAAAGAATACATTTTCTAAATCAAATCTTGACAACAGATGATAAATAATAAATAAGCTAGCAAAAATAGAGTGAGAACTCCCAGAGGTAACACATGAAACTAACACACTAATGAAAAAAATCATGATCAGCCAAGTTAATCCCTCAGTGTAAAATTCTTCTGCAAATAATAAAAATGTCTGAAGTGAGAAAACAGCCAGAGTATGTTGTGAGTCAGGAAAAAGGAGGAGAAAAAACAAATATACTCTTCACAAGAGAAAAACAGACGATTCAAGCACCAGCTTTTAAAAACATGTACCCCAGAGAATTCTGCATTTCCCTAATGAAACTTTTCTTAGTCTGTTTTCTGTTGCTGACTTTCACAGACTGGATATCTTTTAAAGAAAATTTTATTTAGCTCATAGTTCTGGAAGCCTAAGAGTGTAGCCCAGCATCTGCTTGTCATCTGGTGAGGGCCTTCCTGCTGGATCACAACTTGGTAGAGGACATCACGTACTGTGACACAGAAAGCAAGCCAGAGAAAACTACTTCAGGAAAAAAAAAAAAAACTGCCCCTGAGTTATCCATCAATCCACAAATCCATTCCTCCATGCATGAATGAATGCATTCATGAAAGCCCTCATGGCCCAATCACCTCTTAATGATGCTAACTTGTCTCACATGTTAATATCTCACATGGAGCTTAATTTCAACAAGAGTTTTGATGGGGACATTCAAACCATAGCAAACTCCTTCATCCTCTTATTTTAAATGAATTCTTATCAATAAGAAGTTTTGAGGTTGATGCCACACCATTGACACATACTAGCTGACTTCCTCTGAGATCCCAGTGACATGAAGGTGCTGGAAGAACATATTTCATTCTTTGACTCTCTGATCTGAGTAAGAAATAAATATTTTCAATTTGTATTCATGAAGGAAATTTTCAAAGAAACCATCCGTAGCATTGTAACATATCAATCTATTACATTTGCCACACTCCATCTGCTCTAGCGTTCATTCATTTGTTAATTCAGCAAACATTTGAGTGCTTAGTATGGAGCAGAAATTAATGGACACAACAGGCAAATTCATGTTCTCAATAAGTGAATGGAAACAAAGTCTACAAAGTGTGTTGGAAATATAAATCAAATTTCCATATGCATTTCATCTTGCTTGTCTTGATGACAGTCATCCTGGTCTGACTGCTTTGGTTCCTCTCAAACATCAACTTGTTCTTCACTCCTCCCACCATTATTAAATCACTAGGTTCTCATTTTTTCACTCCCATATGTGGACCAATCTTTAGAATCTAAGAGGATATTTATTCCATATGCCATTCAATATGGGTTCCCAAGGCTAATATTGGTCTTCATTTAGTTAATGTTGAACCTGAGTCATATCAGATCACTTTTCCTTAAGAAGAATCCATACTCTGGATTTGGTGATGCATTCAGTTTGTGAAATTCCTAATTGTATATGGAATGAAGTGCAGGCATCTGTTTTTACTTTAAATGATGCTAAATTCTAAAAGGCTGAGAGCTAGACATGATTGTATCTAGGAATTAAGATACCAGGGGACAATAGAGGTGACTCACTGCTTCTCTTTTTATGAGAATTATGAATAACTGATTTCTTTTCTCTTATTTTGAAGAGAAAATATATTTTAAATTTGCAGAGTAGTTTGAGACAAAATGAATAAAATTTACATAACATAATAATCTTTCAGCCAATGTAACAAAAAATGTTATTAAACCACTTCTCTTATATCATACATTTATTAATATATGAGATATAGCCCAGGTACTAAGAGAGAAAAACTGCCAGCACAGAATATTATATCCTGCAAAGCTATCATTTGTGAATGAAGGTGAAATAAAGACTTTTCATAGCAAACAGAAATTGAAAGAATTTGTTGCCACTCGTCCAGCCCTGCAAAAGATGCTTAAAGATGTGTTACACACAGAAACACAGAAACACGGTCATCAATATGAAAGAAGGTAAAGGAAGGAAACCAAGGAAGGAAACCTCACAGCAAAAGATCACAGGGAATTCAAAGCATATATTAGAACTTATCTTTGGCAAATGGCAGGGCAAAGTTACCACTTATCATTAGTCACATTGAACGTTAATGGCCTGAACTGTCCAGTTAAAAGACACCGATTGGCTGATTGGGTTAAGGAACAAAACCCATCTATTTGCTGCTTACAAGAAACTCATCTTTCCAACAAAGATCCATACAGACTGAAAGTGAAAGGCTGGAAAAAGATATACCATGCCAACAGAAATGAAAAAAGAGCAGGCGTAGCCATCTTAATTTCAGACAACATAAACTTTACCACAAAAACTGTTAAGAGAGACAAAGAGGGACACTACATAATGATTAAGGGATCAATTCAACAGGAAGATATAACAATTATCAATGTATATGCACCTAACTACAGGGAACCAGTTTATCTAAAAGATTTGTTAACGGACTTAAAGGGAGACTTAGACCCCAATACAATAGTACTGGGGGACTTCAATACTCCACTCTCAGAAATAGACAGATCAATAGGACAGAAGATCAACAAGGATACAGTAGATTTAAACGACACTATAACCCAAATGGATCTAACAGATATATACAGAACTTTCAATCCTACAGCTAAAGATTTTACATTCTTCTCAGCAGTACATGGAACCTTCTCTAGGATTGACCACATACTAGGCCATAAAGCAAGTCTCAGCAAATTCAAAAGAATTAGAATCATACCATGCAGCTTCTCAGACCATAAAGGAATGAAGTTGGAAATTAGCAACTCAGGAATCCCTAGAGCATATGCAAACACATGGAGATTGAACAACATGCTCCTGAATGAACAATGGGTCATAGAAGAAATCAAAAGAGAAATCAAAAACTTTCTGGAAGTAAATGAGGATAACAGCACAACATACCAAAACTTATGGGACGCAGCAAAAGCAGTGTTAAGAGGAAAGTTTATATCAATAAGTGCCTACATCAAGAAATTGGAAAGGCACCAAATAGATGAGCTTTCAATTCACCTCAAGGATCTAGAAAACCTACAGCAAACCAGACAAAAATCTAGTGGGAGAAGAGAAATATTAAAATCAGAGAAGAAATCAACAGGATTGAATCAAGAAAAACATTACAAAAAATCAGCCAAACGAGGAGCTGGTTTTTTGAAAAAATAAACACAATTGACACCCCATTGGCCCAAATAACTAAAAAAAGAAGAGAAAAGACCCAAATCAATAAAATCAGAGATGAAAAAGGAAACATAACAACAGACACCGCAGAAATAAAAAGAATCAGAAATTACTACAAGGACTTGTATGCCAGCAAACAGGGAAACCTATCAGAAATGGATACATTCCTGGACACATGCAATCTACCTAAATTGAACCATGAAGACATAGAAAACCTAAATAGACCCATAACTGAGACAGAAATTGAAACAGTAATAAAGGCCCTCCCAACAAAGAAAAGCCCAGGACCAGATGGATTCACTGCTGAATTCTACCAGACATTTAAAGAATTAACTCCAATTTTTCTCAAACTATTCAGAACAATCAAAAAAGAGGGAATCCTCCCAAATTCTTTCTATGAAGCCAGCATCACCTTAATTCCTAAGCCGGAAAAAGATGCAGCACTGAAAGACAATTACAGACCAATATCCCTGATGAACATAAATGCAAAAATCCTCAATAAAATTCTCGCCAATAGAATGCAACAACACATCAGAAAGATCATCCACCCAGACCAAGTGGGATTTATCCCTGGTATGCAGGGATGGTTTAATGTGCGCAAGACAATCAATGTGATACACCACATTAACAGACTGCAGAAGAAAAACCATATGATTATCTCAATTGATGCAGAGAAAGCATTTGATAAAATACAACACCTGTTCATGATGAAAACTCTAAGCAAACTGGGTTTGGAAGGAACATTCCTCAATACAATCAAAGCAATCTATGAAAAACCCACAGCCAACATCCTATTGAATGGGGAAAAGTTGGAAGCATTTCCACTGAGATCTGGTACCAGACAGGGATATCCACTCTCACCACTGCTATTCAATATAGTTCTGGAGGTTCTAGCCAGAGCTATTAGGCAAGAAAAAGAAATTAAAGGGATACAAATTGGGAAGGAAGAACTCAAACTATCCCTCTTTGCAGATGACATGATTCTTTATTTAGGGGACCCAAAGAACTCTACTAAGAGACTATTGGAACTCATAGAAGAGTTTGGCAAAGTAGCAGGGTATAAAATCAATGCACAAAAATCAACAGCCTTTGTATACACAGACAATGCCATGGCTGAGGAAGAACTTCTAAGATCAATTCCATTCACAATAGCTACAAAAACAATCAAATACCTTGGAATAAACTTAACCAAGGACGTTAAAGATCTCTACGATGAAAATTACAAAACCTTAAAGAAAGAAATAGAAGAGGATACCAAGAAATGGAAAAATCTTCCATGCTCATGGATTGGAAGAATCAATATCATCAAAATGTCCATTCTCCAAAAAGCCATTTATAGATTCAATGCAATACCAATCAAGATACCGAAGACCTTCTTCTCAGATCTGGAAAAATTGGTGCTGAAATTTATATGGAGGCACAAGAGACCTCGAATAGCTAAAGCAATCTTGTACAACAAAAACAAAGCCGGAGGCATCACAATACCAGATTTCAGGACATACTACAGGGCAGTTGTAATCAAAACAGCATGGTACTGGTACAGAAACAGATGGATAGACCAATGGAACAGAATTGAAACACCAGAAATCAACCCAAACATCTACAGCCAACTTATATTTGATCAAGGATCTAAAACCAATTCCTGGAGCAAGGACAGTCTATTCAATAAATGGTGCTGGGAAAACTGGATTTCCACGTGCAGAAGCATGAAGCAAGACCCCTACCTTACGCCTTACACAAAAATCCACTCAACATGGATTAAAGACTTAAATCTACGACCTGACACCATCAATTTACTAGAGAACATTGGAGAAACCCTTCAAGATATTGGCACAGGCAAAGAGTTTCTGGAAAAGACCCGGGAGGCACAGGCAGTCAAAGCCAAAATTAACTATTGGGATTGCATCAAATTGAGAAGTTTCTGTACTGCAAAAGAAACAGTCAGGAGAGTGAAGAGACAACCGACAGAATGGGAAAAAATATTTGCAAACTATGCAACAGATAAAGGGTTAATAACCAGAATCTACAAAGAGATCAAGAAACTCCACAACAACAGAACAAACAACCCACTTAAGAGATGGGCCAAGGACCTCAATAGACATTTTTCAAAAGAGGAAATCCAAATGGCCAACAGGCACATGAAAAAATGTTCAAGGTCATTAGTAATCAGGGAAATGCAAATCAAAACCACAATGAGGTTTCACCTCACCCCGGTTAGAATGGCTCACATGCAGAAATCTACCAACAACAGATGCTGGCGAGGATGTGGGGAAAAAGGGACACTAACCCACTGTTGGTGGGAATGCAAACTGGTCAAGCCACTATGGAAGTCAGTCTGGAGATTCCTCAGAAACCTGAATATAACCCTACCGTTCGACCCAGCCATCTCACTCCTTGGAATTTACCCAAAGGAATTTAAATTGGCAAACAAAAAAGCGGTCTGCAGCCTAATGTTTATTGCAGCTCAATTCACATTAGCTAAGACCTGGAACCAACCTAAATGCCCATCAACGGTAGACTGGATAAAAAAATTATGGGATACGTACTCTTTAGAATACTATACCGCAGTAAGAAACAACGAAATCCAGTCATTTGCAACAAAATGGAGGAATCTGGAACACATCATGCTGAGTGAAATAAGCCAGTCCCAAAGGGACAAATACCATATGTTCTCCCTGATCGGTGACAACTGACTGAACACCAAAAAGGAAGCCTCCTGAAGTGAAACGGACACTATGGGAA